TATATTCTTCTCATATTAAGATTATGAAAAAAAACTTTATAGACCACGTAATCTTTAAGTACATTTTCACAGTAATAAAAATATCTATTTTAGAATAACAATATTAACAATAATGCAATATTTATGGTATTATCTTATTATCTAATTTATTTTCTAATTTCCAAGGCAAATACAACACTTTATGGTTCCAGGATATTTACATATTAATGCAGGTGATCTCACTAATAGGGAAATCATGAACACAAAGATGTGTCTTATCTTATTACCAGTATTTTTGGATATTTCTAAAGAATTCGTATTGGAAGATGTTTTTTTTAATGTTTATACCAGTATATAAACATACATTTTAATCAAAATCTCATATCCAGTATATTTATTAACATGTTTACGGTTACCAATAAGCCTCTAACTATATTAAACCCACAAGTTTCAGCGAATGCAATCTTGCTGAAGGAGTTAGCAATCTTGATGAATAATTACAGACTTGGTTAATGGGTGCTACAGACCTCTGGTTTTACAACACCACTATAAAAATAGCTGTGCAGTCTTCATTGAATATAATAAGTGCCCTTATTGGTGCATAAGAATGGCAATGTTTAAACCAACACAGTAGTATTTTCCACGTCTAACTTCTCTCTGTGAAGCAATAAAATGTACAGTGTTGCTGGAAAATTTAAAAAAAAGACTATCGTTATATTGGAGCACTATTTCTTCAGAAGAGATGTCTCGGTGCTCGTGAAACACCTTTGTCAATGTGCGTACCGTGTTTGTTTTTGTCTGTTGGTTCACCCTCACACTATGGCTAGCACTTTTGCACAACTTTTTAGTTGTTGGACTGGTCTTCTGTTTCAATCTGCCAAGGTATTAGAGTTTATTGTATGTATTGGCAGTAACTACTATTCAGTTACCTTCGCCTAGGAAATGGTGCATTTTGCTTAAAGGTTTTATTTCCCACATACCCTATCTAGCACTAGATATTTTCTTTGCATGAGGGAGGGGGGAGTTTTTTTTCCCCTCTCTCTCCTAATACTCTAAGTGTAATAGGGATTTACTGTCATCTGATTTTTTGGTATGTAGGCACACTCCTTCTCTTATTATGGTGTTCTGAAGTAGTCTGTACCTTTATTGTTCTTTTTAACCATTATAGATAAGTAGTTTTTTTTTTATTTTTTACCAATTTGTTTCTCTACTCTGTTGATTTCCTATACCCTATATATCAGCATTTGCCTTGTATTGTCAAATTATTTTTCTACATATATCTCTAAACACTTGTTTTCATTTGTGACCATTAGTCCCTTATGTTTGTGACCATGCAAAGGTTTTTTTAGATGGTTAAAGGGACACTATAGTCACCCGAACAACTACAGCTTATTGAATTTGTTCTGGTGAGTAGAATCATTACCTTCAGGCTTTTTGCTGTAAACACGGTCTTTTCAGAGAAAATGCAGTGTTTACATTACAGCCTAGTGATAACTTCACTGGCCACTCCTCCTGTTAGATATCCTTCCTGGGTCATGGCTGCCTAAAATGCATCCAAACATTCAGTATCTCCTCCCTCTGTGTTCATTGATTCAATTCATCTCTATGAGGAGATGCTGATTGGCCAGGGCTGTGTTTGAATCATGCTTGCTCTGCCCCTGATCTGCCTCTTTGTCAGTCTCAGCCAATCCTATGGGGAAGCATTGTGATTGGACCAGGCTACCACTTCTGATGATGACAGCAGACAGCTTGTTTTTCTGAGGCAAACAGCATATAGAGTTACAGCTCCAGGCTTGACTACAGTAAGATTTTGCTATATTTATGGAGGCATGAGAGGTCCAGGGGGCTAGATGGTGGTTTTAACACTATAGGGTCAGGAATACATGTTTGTGTTACAGACCCTATAGTGATCCTTTAAGGAAGCGCATGTATGGTTAATTTCCTTTTTAATTTTACCTACAGTTGTTCCTCTAAGCCTATTTTTTATTTCATATATAATTAGCCCAAATCCTTACTTCTAAAGATGTACAAAAAAAAAAAAAGATGGGCATACTAATGATAACAGCATTTCAGTAATGGAGAAATCAAGGGATCTGCTTTACTGAAGAGTTAACTGATATATTGTCGTAAACCTGAGATGTAGCTCATTACAAGCCTGAAATAACTAAAAAACATGAGCTGAACCTAACTGAGTAATAAATGTTGTCTGTATGGTTTATCTCTTTACAACAGCCATTCTTTCAAATGTGCAGTAAAGAATTTGGCATGTGTGGGTCTTTTGGCACAGTACTATGGACATTATTTATCTGCTGGAAGGAATAAAATGATAGTTTTTTATTTATTTATAAAATATTTTACCAGGAAAGATACATTGAGATTTCTCTCGTTTTCAAGTATGTCAGGGGTCCACAAATCATTGCATTGTTACATTAGGTACAACAAAATACAAAAACAATATTAATACACAATATATACAAAATTTAACATAGAACAGGCAGGAAATATATAATCAACCATGGAACGTGCATTGTGTTTTGAGGTATGTAGAGAGGGATCTCTTAAATGACTTTAGGCTTAAGGAAGAGTTTAAATTGTGCGGGAGGTCGTTCCGCAATTGCGGTGCTCTATAGGAGAAGGAGGATCGGGCCGCTTTCTTTTTGTATTGAGGTAGACTAAGTAAAGTGCTTGTACTGGATCGGAGCTTATAGAAAGTGGGAACAGCTGGGGAAAGCATTTTGTTCAGGTAGGGTGGGAGTTTCCCCGAAAAGCTCTTAAAAACAAGGCTGGAAAGATGAAGGGTGCGTCTGGATTCCAGCGACAGCCAGTTTAGTTCTTTTAGCATGCACAATGATGGGTCCTGTAATTACATTGTAGCACAAATCGGCAGAACGAGTTATACAATGTGTTGAGTTTATTAATGTGGGATTGCGATGCAGATGCATATACTACATCCCCATAATCAATGATTGGCATCAGCATTTGCTGGACAATCTTTTCCTTTACTGTAGGGCTTAGGCAGGCTTTGTTTCTGTACAGAGCACCTAATTTTGGATAAAGTTTAGATGCAAGCTTTTCTATGTGCAGGCCAAAAGATAGATTGGGGTCTAATATCATACCCAAGTATTTGAAAGAGTGGACCGCGGTCAGTGTGCCATTTGAATTTGTTTTGATGGATAGGTGGGAATTGTGTAATTTGTGTAATTTAGATACTGTTCCAAAGATCATTGTGACAGTTTTGTCAGTGTTCAGGAAGAGTTTGTTTTTTGCGATCCACTTTTCTTCCTCTGTAAACTGGTCTTGGAGCACAGCCTCAAATTGCGGTAGATTGGATTTGCTCGCATAGATTACAGTGTCATCTGCGTACATGTGTACATTTGAGCATTGGCAGACATTAGGCAGATCATTTATAAATAATGTAAATAGTAGGGGGCCGAGAATGGAACCCTGGGGAACACCACACGTGACTGGGAGAGGGAGGGAGTCACTGTCAGAAATGGACACATATTGCGAGCGATCCGATACATACGATCAAAACCAGTTTAGAGAATGATCACCAATACCTGATTTTTTGAGTTTGTGCAGTAGCATGTCATGGTCTACTGTGTCAAAGGCCTTAGCAAAATCAAGGAAAATAGCTCCAGTTAGGGCTCCTTGTTCCATGCCAGTTTGGATGTCATTGCAAACTTTTAGGAGGGCAGTTGTAGTGGAGTGATTCTGGCGAAAGCCCGATTGATCAGAGGTCAGATAGTTTAATTGTTGGTAGTACTCACAAAGTTGCGTATGGACACATTTTTCTAAGATTTTTGACAATACCGGGAGCAATGATATTGGGTGATAGTTAGAAACTACTTTTATGGATAGGCACTACTCTCGCAGTCTTCCAAAGTTTGGGTATGTATCCAGACACCAAGGATTCGTTAATTAGAGTTGAGACGGGTTTAGCAATTGCCGGAGCACTGAGCTTCAACAGCATTGCTGGGATTTGATCAGGTCCGGACTGGTTTTTCATTTTTAGATTATTAAGATGTTTTTTAATGACACTAACAGGTACAGGTCTAAAAATAAACTTGTCTATATTGGGCCTTTGCAAATTTAGTGTGACCTGATCCACATTTGAAGTTTCAGGATGCGTGTCATTATCCGACAAAATATTTGTTAAAGGCATTTGCTACATCTAAGGGAAGTTGCAGGATATGGTTACCCACTTTGACAGTGGAGGGTTGGGAGTGTCAGGATTACTGTTTGATCCAGCACGTAGAACTGTACAGCACGGATGACAAATAAGTAACGTATTACCGGTCCTTAGAATGGCCGGATTTAACGTACAAAGAATAGTCAAAAATACTAGCCGAGGTCAGGGAACACAGAAAGGGACACAGCGATGAGGAAAGCCAGGAGTCAGGATACCAGAATATAGAGAAGTCAATAAACAAAGCCAAAGTAAAAAAACAGGTAGAAAACTATAAACAGGAACGCGCTCTCAGACAACCACAAGGGAAACCACGACAGGGCACTGAGCAGGCTGAGAACTGGGCCTAAATACCCCTCCTTTAGTTCTGATAGGCTGTAACCGGCCTTTGACCCCAAAGTCAGTTACCAGGTTTCATTTGCATAATTGCTGCTCAGCATTAACCCTTCTGTGGATTAGGTTGCTGCTTGGCACAACTTTTCCTGTGTGGACAGTAAATGTCATTAATCACTTTTCTCTAAGCGGATGAATACATGACACCAGGTTTCATTTGCACAATTACTGCTCAGCATTAACCCTTCTGTGGATTAGGTTGCTGCTCGGCACAACTTTTCCTGTGTAGACAGTAAATGTCATTAACCACATTTCTATAAGCGGATGAATATGTGACATTACCCCCC